CAAGCCTGTTAAGCATCCTTACCCTCCATTGTGGGCTACCATGTGCAAACATTGACAAATGACAATTCTTCCATGTTTTATAAATAAGCAGAGAGGCACCAAGTCCTCCCAGCTCCACAAGGAATCCTCTCAGTTGTGTCTTGATACATTTGCCTCCCTATCCAACTTTCAGTGGTTCACCTGCCCAATTTTCACAATAAGGCAGGGGACTGTTTGAGCAGGGTCATATCTGTCAATACATGTCAATCTGTCATGAATAGGGAATCAAGGACTCAAGGTCTTCTCTTGGACTGGGGTTCTCCAACTACAGACCTGTTTGAGTTGAAGCAGAACAGAAAGCTCTTCTGAAAGCAACCAGGGCTCCAAGACCTATGCTTAATAGCATTGAATTGCAGTCCCCTGCCTCTGCTCCCAAACTTGGTCTCCCAGGGCAACAGCAGAGTGTTTCACTCAGATTTGTGGTCACTTCACATGACTACTTGGTTTTTGGACAGTTCTCACAGATAGAGTATATCCGTTCCATCTCCATTAGAAGTATTTGAATGTACAGAAGAATAGTGTCATATAGTCCAGATTGTCTTTGTGGTGCCTATTGTTGGGGTATCTCCTCACCACTCTCCTTGATCCCAAACATTCTAGGGTACCTGGTGGACTTGAGGGCCTCAGACATATCACTGACCATCTCTGACTAACATCTGCTGTTGAGGTTGATTCCATCACACTGAGATTTCTAAAGCGGTTATCAGAGGGTTTCCCAGGTTTCAAGGATTTAGTCCCTGCAATGTGACTTAAACCTGGTCCTTACTCCTCTAATGCATCCACCATTCAAGCTGGCAGAATCCTGATAACTCCAACAGATATCTGTGAAGATAGCCTTCTGGGCAGCGATCACTTATGTCAGGTGAATTGGTGAGATTCAGGCCCTACTGGCAAATCCATTGTATACAACCTTCCATCTGGACAAGATGGACCTCCATATCCACCCTAAAGTCTTGCCAAAGATGGTTTATGAGTTTCACCTCAATCAGCAAATGTAATTACTTGGCTTTTTCCCAAAGCTGCACAGTTCAAGGCCCAAGGCCACCCTTCATACTCTGAACTGAAGAGAACTCTAGCCTACTATTTGCACAGAAACAGACCCTTCAAAACAGGGGTCAGCTGCTTTTTAGAGTGGAGGACTGGGCAACTGCAGTCCAGCTACTACCACAGGCTGCTGATTCCCCTGTCCCCATCACAGATCCCTTGCTGCTGCAGTGTCCTCCCTGCCCTGTGGCCCTTCTCCACTTACCAGGTGCCACTAAAAGCTGTGGGTAATACCAACAGGGAATGAAAGATTTGGCGATACTCAAGCCAGTCTTTTCCTGTGAGATGCCAAAGATCATCTCCAGGGTTGTGGGCACTGCTTTGGAGTCACCCACATGTGACAGCATGTGTGGACAGGAAAAAGGGAAGTTACTAACTAGTAACTGGAGTTCTTCAAGATGTGTTGGCTATGCACATATTCAAATTCCAACCTCCTTCCTCTCTTCCTCAAAGTCTGCCTCATTGCAACTCTGCTTGAGAGGGACTGAGGAATAGAGGTGTGCATTTTCTTGCTTTCTCCCTTCAGTTTAAGGAGGGAAGGAGGCAAGGAGTTTAAGGGGAGTGGCTAGATCAGACTCAAGATATACTACAGTGACTGAACTCACCCATGCATGAGAATCTGTATGGTGTGGACAATACATCTAGAGGAATTCCAGTTAAAATTTCCTGTTTGTCATAAGCACCAGCACATTCTGAATATTCTTCACAGTCACTTCTTATTTCTTTATATAGGGCAGCCCATTCACTTGACTGATGCTCACTATAATGACCCTGAATATCATTACAAATTTTTAACTCTGTGCGAGTGATGTCATGATGTCAAGACAAAAGGCTACCAATGAATATATATAGAACTTCCTGTCAAACTGTAGGGGCAAAACAGACATTGCTAATTAATAGCAAATAAATTATGATAGCCAAATAATAGCTGTTTACATAGAAACCATGGGCCTGATATTTTTCACTGCCCTGCACCTTATGTGTTCATTTATATCATACAGTATGATTGTGTCTACACGTACAATGCTATTAGGCTACAGTAAACTAATTAACATCGCTGTAAGATAGTACTGTTGGGGGAGGGGAACTAGTAAGGGTGCAGTAAACCATGGGGGGGCAGCACAGGCACACCCCCCACCTGCCCTCTGCATGGCCCCAGCCCCCCTACAACTGACTGGCAGCAGCAGTGCTGATCAGGGCACTCAGACCCTCATGGCACAGCCTCCCCCCACACAGTATGGGGCATCGGGGGTCAGTGCAACTCAGCACCGACCACCTGACACCCACGCTGCCTCTGCCACATCATGCAGGTGCGGCCCGGCTCGGTGTGGCACCGTGCACTTTTGGGCAGCTTGGGGCTGCTTGGGCTGTCACCCAAGTCCCTGTGCCACTCACAGGGACTGCTGCTGAGCCGAGCCATGTCCTGCATTCATGGAAGCGGCCTGGCCAGACAGCACGTGGGGCCTGTGCACTCAGGACTCAACCCAGCATGGCAAGCAGTCCTCACGAGTGGCACAGGGCCATAGATGACAGCCTGAGCATCCCCAAGCTGCCTGAAAGCGCATGGTACTGCACGGCACCACGCTGAGCCCAGCCACACCTGCACGATGTGGCAGAAGCAGCATGGGTGGCAGGCATCCAGCACCAAGCTACACTGCCTCCTGCTGCCCTGTGCCATGTGGGAGAGCTGTGCCATGAGGCCCCAAGCATCCCGATCACCGCTGCTGCTGCCAGTGAGCTGTGGCTGGTGTCGGGGCAGGAGCAGTAGCATCTGCAAGTAGCTCTGGACACTGCAGGGGGTGGTAACCCCAGCGGGGGGGCTTTGAGTCCTGTGGGAGGGGAGCTGTACCCCCTGTGGGGGGGCTTTGGCCCCTGCAGGGGGGCTCTTGGCCCTGCGGGAGGCTGTAGCCCCTGCAGGGGGGGTCTGTAACCCCTGCGGGGAGGCACTCTGTGCTGCGTGGAGGGGCTGTGCCCTGTAGGGGGCAGGGGACCCACCCCACCTAAGCAGCCCCCCACACACACACAGTCCTGCCACACATACATTCCTGCCACAATCTCCCACACCTACCCACAAACTCCCACATCCCTCCACACCCACCCACACCCCTTCCACCCTACTACCCCTTCCCACCTCTCTCTATCACACACCCATCGTATGATAAGAAAACCAAAAGCAAACATCAAAACATATAGATATTTAGAATTTATTTAATTATGGTAACAGTGACCACTCATAGGCTTCCAAATTACTTTAAAATTGTAAATATATCAACAAAACATTTCCAACTGATCTATCTATCTATCTATCTATCTATCGTGGTCTTTTGTTTTAATTGCAGAAGAGCATGGATTTTGGGGTATTTTAAAGATTTGGGATTTTTTTATCAGAGATTCTGCAGTTTTTAAATAGGAAACATCAGAATTATTCCTGCTAGTGAGGCAAGTGACAGGAGCCAGGCAAAGGAGTCTGCTCATGCCTGGCACCCAGACCCAGCTGGAGGTGGCTGACCTCATGGCCACTTGGGGACAGGAAGCCATGCTTTGACAGTTCAAAGCAGGCCACCACACTGAGAACATCTTCTGGGCAATAGCTGCCCAGATGGCAGGGCGATAGCACACATGGCAGTAGTGCCGCACAAAGGACAACTGTGCAGCTACATCCCACTGGCAGCTGGCCCAGAGGTGCAAATACCTCTACAGGCTGTGCAGTCCCCATCTGGGTCTGGCAGGTGCACAGCCTTGGGGCCACTTGCTGTCAGTGGGTAGATGGTACAGGGGACTCTCAGGGCTGCTTCAGCAGTCCAGCTGGCACAAGGGGTAGTGTCCCCAGATACCAAGTGGCTGGGCCCCAGAAGCTCCTGTCTGTTTGTATCCTTCAAGTTAATGTGGGTCTTACAGCCCACCCAGCTAACTAATAGCCGCTACTGTGTGGGGCCAATGGGTAAGATATGCAGCTGAATTCCCCAGAAGCTCCTTAGAGCAAGTAGCCCTGAGCTGCTAGCCAGAGTAGGTTTTTATACTTCTGGGGCCAGCACAGGTGCTAGCCTCAGACTCTACCTCCCCCTGGCTGCAGATCCAGGAGGAGCTGGGCAGGGTTATTTTGCCCCAGGTGGTACAACTTGCCCCACACAAAAGTGCTTGTCTGGGCTTGTGCACTGAGGCAAAAATCCCCAGCTCAAATTTGTGCCACTCCTCTTTAAGCTGCTGCAAGCGCACATGCCTGCATGTGTGGATGTGCCCACAAGTGCATGGTGCTAGGAAATAAGTCCTTGCATATTAAATGAGGGCTCATGGAGTTCATATGCCTAAGAATGACAGGGCTGGATTAAAGGCATTGTGGCTGGCAATACTAATTTAGGAAGTTATTTCTGGGTGCCACAAATTTATCAATTCACAGAAAGGACTAATGTGATAAATGGTTGTGCTGTCTTCCATCTCAACTTAAGTCTGTAGTGACTGTTCTTAACTGGCAGGGAAGAGTATTTTAGCTACCCTGTTACTCTGTTCAAGAAGAATGGTGCAGTATGTGTGATCCTTTTACAGTAAGCCACAGCTACACCTTTCTATAGTGATAATGGCATAAATTGCTGTGACAGGTAATACTGAGGATCTGTCCCAACATATCTAGTTTTTGGGGGTTGTTTGTTTTTTTTAATTTTTAAATAAGTCTCCAGTAGTGATCCTACATTGTTGATATAGGTTGAATTTGAAGTGAGTGTGCTTATTATTTGTACATATTATTAGTGCCTGAGTTAATGCTCAGCTGGCTGCCTTTATGTTGTTAGCAGAAACCTAATTCTGCAGGCAGTGATTGGTGAAATGTGTTTGTTCATGAATGTTTTCTATTAAATGTAATGATCCCTGCTGTATAACAGGAAGCAAATATGTTGAGTACTGAATCATACTTTTTCTTTTAGGGGCTAAGTAAAAAAGTTGGGGTATCCTCCTCTATCCTGCAAGGGCTTTGGATCTCCTACAGCACAGAAGGTCTTTCAATGGCACTGGCATCTCTGCGAAACCTCTACACCCCTAACATCAAGGTACCATAAAAAATGAACGGTTCATGAGATAATTCTTTGCTAGAAAGACAGGTGCCTGCTAGCCTGCGGTGATCCAAGTATGGAATGTTCTCTAAGGCTCTGGTTCAGCAGTGAACTGCACATGTGTACATTTAAGTATGTCAACAACTCCACTGGAGCCAATGAAACTGCTCGTGTAATTTACACAGGTGTTTAAGTGCTTGGCTGAATTTGAGCCTAGGGCTTTAAGACAGGGTGTCAGACTCACCTTGTCGCCCAGGCTGGATCTGGGCTGCAGGTCACCATGCAGGCTGGATCCAGCCCAGTGCATGAGGAAGTGGCAGTGGAAGCAGTTCTTGCTCTAACCCAGAGCACATAGTGCTAGCTCCAGCTCTGACCTGGAGCATACAGCAGCACGGGCACTAGCAGCTCTGACTGCAACCTGAAGTATGCAGCAGTGGCTCCAGCACGCAGCACAAGCTTCATGCCAGAACTGGAGCTGCCATTGCTACATGCCCCATGCTACAGTAACAGCTTTAGCTCTGGCTCCAGCATGAAGCACATGGCAGGGGCCAGCAGCTGAGAAGGTAGGGCGGCAGCAGTGGTGACAGACGAAGTGGCCAGAGGGCCACTGGGCCTGCATTACCTCTTGCTTGCCCTCATCCTGCCAATCGCCATGTCTGCTGGAACCTGAAGGGCCCAGAGTCTATGGTAGGCCATGGCCCTCCCCACCCCTGCAGCCACATCCCCCGACTTCCAGTGGCACATTGGTAGTCTAGTGGGCCAGACAGAATGACTCCATAGGCCAGGTCTGGCCCACAGGTTATATGTTTGACACCTCTTTTTTAAGGGAATGTCTAAAGAGATTTCTAAGCCATTTTGGATACCAGAAATAGTAGAACCACATTAGCACAACATTACATGCAAGGCTAATTAGCTATGCTGAGAAGCAAGTTGCCATGTTCTTTTTAAATATAAGATGCACTTTTTTTAAAGGAAATATTTCTTCTGAAAACGGCTTGCATCTTAAATGTCAGTAAAAATGAAAGTAAAATGCTCTTACATGCACCATCAAGGTTGTTTCCTCATAAATGTGTTTTTTGTAAGAGATGTTATTTTTCTTAAATTGAGGGTCAGAACATTTGGGTTCATCTTAAATTCCAGGGTATCTTATATTCAACGGAATACAGTATATTATCCTGGACAGAGTGCTACACTAGCACAGCTACACTATTTTCCAGTACAAGACATGACTCATTCAAATCTAGCATGAGTTGCTCTGCAGGACATAACATCGTGCCATGTAGACCTACCCAGTTACGGTTTGGGAACCAATGTGTGTTGGCTTCCCAACTCTTCCATATTCAGAAGGGATTTTCTGTTAAATGCTGTTAATGAGCAGCTTCATTTCTGCTCCTAGTAAACATGCTTCATTTCCCATTTCTGTCTCCCAAAGATACAGAAATCAGTCTCTGGCATTGAAAACTTGATGGCATCATAGGATTTGTCTGTGCTAGAGTTCTTTAAAAAATTATAATAAATTTAAATTACCTGATGCATTTACATGTACTAATCTAGAAGCATTAACAGTGTTTGTGGATTGTACAGATCAGCATGCCAGACATATCTGCTGAAGAGGAAAAAACCTGTAGCACAGAGAAATTTGTAGATAACCATTTAGACTTGCAGGCGGGTCCAGCCTAAGAAAGCCCTTTGTTCCTGTTCTCTTCTACCTGGAGAGGGAAGCCCAGGGTCCTCTTCTTTGTCCGCTTCATCTTTCTTTCTCCTCTGCTGCATGCACTGTCTTCTTTACTCTGCAGCAAAATGCAAGAAGAGCAGAGTGACCAAGGCAGAGGAATGAGCAGCAGCATTTAGGTGACCTGTAGATGGATCAGTAAGGCTCCTGTGGGAGGGATGTTCAAGTATTTTTAAATACTGAGAAAACTGAGTACCTGTTTGCTTGTCCTATCCCCGTCTGAGACTCCACAGGCCCTTTGTCTGGCTGTATGGTTAAAGCTACCCTACTTCAACACTAAGCAAACTACAAAGGTCAAGTTTTTTCCAGAATGTCAGAGATTAGGCTCTCCCTCTGCCAATAGTAAAGTCACATATTGGGCATGTCCCAATATTGAGCATTTGTGTTCTATGCTGATGCGAATTCTGTGTTTTGGGGAAGGCCTGGACAACTGTTTAGGTGTTTAAGGACCATAAACAAACACCTGGCAAACGCTTGGTTCTTTTCTACCCTGTAGGTTAGTCGATTGCTGATTTTGGGAGGTGCCAATGTTAATTATCGAACAGAAGTTTTGAACAACGCTCCAATATTGTGTGTCCAGTCACACCTTGGTTACACAGAGATGGTGGCTTTATTGCTGGAGTTTGGAGCCAATGTAGATGCCTCATCTGAAAGTGGCCTGACGCCTCTTGGCTATGCTGCTGCAGCTGGGTACCTGAGCATTGTTGTGCTGCTCTGCAAGAAACGGGCCAAGGTAACACATCTGCATTTCTCTGATGCCTGACTTCCCATGCATTCTACATTTGTGTGAGAGAGAGTTCTGGTAGCCTGTAGAAAATAAGAGACCTCTAAAGAGAAGTTGGCCCATTGCTATTCCCAAATAATTCTTCTTAAATATTGTTCTTTGTTCTGGTCTGTTCAGAAAGCTAAGATCAATGATATAAGCAAAGCTGTATGTCTGATGGAATGGTTTCTGTACAGCCAAAACCAGATGCTGACAGTTGCCATAGGCCAGTGATTCTTAGCCAGGTTGCCATGGTACCCTGGGATGCCTTGAGAAGCTTTCAAGAGTGCCATGGGGTCTCGCACAGTGTAAGCACTGTCATGTGTGCAAATATGATTTGCAAGATAAAAGATTTTAAATAGGAATTCATAGTGTCAAAAAACATTCTGCTTTGTGAGGTCTTTCAGAAGAATTGCTCTATGATTTTTCTGTAGTCAAGAAATGAGTAAAAGATAAGAGCAAGCATTTTTCAAGGAGTGCCCTGAGTCTTATATGGGGCACTTTGAGTCTAAAAAGGTTGAAACCACAATCACAGGCTATCTTTAAAATCTGCAGTTTCCTAACCATCTAACAAAAAAATAGTTATCCTTTATTCTCAGAACTCAGTCCTGCTGGGCATGTCCTGAAAAGTCAAAGGAAACAGATTGTTGGACAGCTCATAGGATTAGATTATAGCTGTTTTATGGTGAGATTATCGTTCATTAGGTTACTGTCGTAATGTAGATGGCCAAAGTAACTACCTGGTATGGCACATTTTGTATTTAAATATGCACCAAATGCAGTCATGCCAGTATAAAATACCAGAAGAAGTGGCTAGTCTGCAATTTTCTATCTGCAGGAAGCTTTTTGAAGGTGCAATAAAACCATCACCTATTCAGTTCACATGAAAGTCAGTTGGAATTAGGCACATTACTGTCTTTGATAATGCTGCTACATGCAGGTATGCATGCACATGTGTGGTGCCTGCACCCACACACAGTTAATATTTAACACAGTTTCTGCCTGTCTAACATCTGTTTCATCTGCCTAACTAGCCAGTGGTTCCCAAAATCTTTGAACGTGGGGTGGCAAAGACAGGGCCCACAGACTGAATCTATTGTATAGAGCCCTAGCATCTGGCCCTTGATGCTGCCTTTGGGTCTCAGACTGGCCCCATGTGCCACATACAGTTGGTGCATGCATGTCGTCTGCAGGACTGGACCCAGTGTACATGTTGCATTCAGTATGCAGGGCTGATCCAAGACCCAAAGGTGCAATGGGGTAGATGCCAGGGCTCTGCAGGATGGATATGGGGTGCACACTGCTTGTGGTGCACAGGGCTGAACCCAACACATGCGCTGCATGCAGCATGAGGGGCTGGTCCAGGGTTCATGCTGGCTCTAGTGTGCAGGGCCAGTCTGTGTGCCTGATTTGGCCCACAGGGTCAGATGAGTTTTATATGCCTGATCTAAAGGAGTTAGATGCCTAATTTCCAATGAATACAACGAGATTTAAGATCCTAATTCCCTTAGGCTCATTTGAAAATCCTTACCTTAATCTTTATGTATCCAGTCTATTTTATCTAAAACACCTATTCCAAAATTATTCATGCATTGTACTCAAAAGTAGCACTAGGAACAACTTAGTTGACAATAGTCAAACTGCTTCTGTTATTCCTTGTGTACATATCTGCGTTTTTTATTGTTATTGGAGTTTTGTTGTTCTTGAGATGTAAGAGATTAGGATCTTGTTTATAGATGGCCCCAGGGTAGTGGTTGTAAGGCTTTCTTTTCTATAAGAGCATGGTGCTTTGAAACATATCATTGGCACAGAAGGCATACTGACTCCAGAGTTTGTAATTAGCATTCTGGAATTTAAGCCTGGGACTGGGAACAGTCTAACCATACTTTCCTAGATGGTTTGTCAAAGTCATTTTTGTAAAATTCCTTGACTTTGCACACTGTTAATACAGCAACCTTGTTTTTGCAACACAGGATGGATTTAAAATTCCTCATTTGGGTACATTCTTTGAAAACTTCTGTCAAACTTGTCCAGAAAAAATACCCTTTGTTTAGCTTTGTGTTGAGTGTTTCAAGGGTTAATTCTGTATAATGAGTCAAGTTCAAACATTTTGTTAAGAGAAAAATTGTACTCATAACTGAAGTGGCAGCCTCCTGGAAACAATTTTGGTTTCTATAAATGCTTTGCCTCAGTTCTGAAAGAAACTAAAGGCTTGTATGGTTTTAATATGAATGTCAGGATGACTAACGGACCTATTTAGTTCTTACTCTATTGTCTGTAATAAAGTCAGGACAATGTAAAGGAAAAAATGAACAGTTTGGGGTTCTTTCTTCTTTTTAAAGACAAGCTGGGTGAGCTGCTGACACTGGTCAATAAGAGGCAGTATGATGAGATCCCAGTGGAGTTCCATTATACCCTCTCTCCAGAGAAATGGGAGAGAGAAAAAGGTCACTAAAGGTGATTCAAAAGATCCCCCAACCTAATAGGAGAAAAGGAAGTTGATGTTCTTGAGTATTGAGTTTTCAGGGAATAAATAGCATTCTGGTAGCAGCTGTTTTTGGTCCAAAGGCTAGGAAGTTGGATTGGAGCACAGAAAAATATTAAATATACCTCAGGATAAATATATAACATTTATCTCTCCTGGCTATATCTGAGTGTTGTGCATCAGTGAAACAGTTAATCAGTCGAAGGCAACCAACTGAAACGTTTACTTGATGATACTAGTGTGGGCGTTATGATACTTGCATTATGACAAGGACCTAGAAGCCACCACTGATATTCACAAACAGCAGGAAAAGACCATTCCTTATCTTGAAGAGCTTATCAACCCAGTTTTTTGTTGACTATCAGATTATAGTACCACCAAATCACTCTCCGTTTTTCTTTTGCCCACTGCTAACATCGAGCTCATGTGATGAGGTCTTTTTGCTTCTTTTTAAAGAACATTGAAATAGTAGCTTTAGAACATTCTCTCCTTTCTCTAGTGGACTTAGACAAATAACAGTGTATAGAATTTCAGTTCAAAAGGAACTACAGTTGGTGCATTTAATAACAAAGGGAAAATGCTTTTTTCAAGAAGAAAGCTGGCATGCTTTTAGCATGAGGAAAACTGAAGTTGTAACATGGTGACCTGCCCAAAGAAAACAGTTGTGGCCAAGAAGAAGCCTAAACATAGGGCAGTGTTTCTTTGGGAAGGAATGTTGACAACTTGTGGATGGATTCGTTAATTAGAAAAATGCAGAGAATGTGTATCTTGCACATGTGGAATTATTATGAAACCAAGGCTGGAAACACTGAGACAGCCATGACGTTTCAGCCATGATTTGGTTTAATTTTATTTTGTCTTTTTCTTCTCTTTAAAGGTGGATCATTTGGACAAAAACGGTCAGTGTGCTCTGGTCCATGCGGCTCTCAGAGGTCACCTCGAGGTAGTCAAGTTCTTGATTCAATGTGACTGGACAATGGCTGGCCAACAGCAAGGGGTATTTAAAAAGAGCCATGCCATACAGCAGGCACTGATTGCAGCAGCCAGCATGGGCTACACTGAGGTAAGACATAACTATACTTTGCTGAATTTCTGTGGAATAGAGAAATAATATGTCTGTTTTGTAGTCACAAGCCTGAACAAAGAAGGTCTAGGAGGAGGAGCCAGTAATTTCACCCCCATCCCTCACCTTGCCCCATCCATGGGATTCTTGGCATCCTATGTAGCCTGGGCAGGATTCCAGCCAAAGAAGGTGTAAAAAGTCCTTAAATTATTTAAATAAACCTAAGCAAGCAAGGATAAGCTATGTAATGATTGTCATTTCCTTGGTAGTAGTAGGAGACAGTTAGACCTAGTGGTTGTTAGCTGTTTGGAGGGGAGAAGAATATATGAGGCATTTGCTCCTATTACACTTTGTACAGGTTGCTGATAATATGCTCTGTATTTCTCTGTTGGGAAATAACACTAAGCTTAAAAAGGACTTCTGGCTAAATAACTGTCCCCTCCTCCCCTCCCTCACATACACTACCATCACTATTTATCTGACTTGAAATGTTGCCTTAGATAAGTGGAATCCATGAAAATTACGTAACATGAGCAAATTGGAGAAATTAATCAAAGGAAGTTGCAGATCTGGTGCAGCCCGACTGCATGATACTTTTTTGTGGGAAGATTCCCCAAGATTATATTTATGTATTTGTAATTTTAAAAAATGCTTCCAGAATTATGGACTATTTAGTTAGTGTTATATATGTATATGGCTCCTTACAGATAAAGAAACTGGAAGTCCTTGACCTGAGATGCTTCAACTGATTAGGCAGTTTGCTTAAAATATTTCAGCATTGCAGGGTTTCCCACTACCACTATCAACACTACCTTTTTAGTGTTTTAACAAGTATAAAAAATGTTTGAAAACTGATTTAGGGTTTTACAAATTGAATGATCACATTGCTTTATGGGAGGGGAGGCAGCATGCTTGTCCAGCAAGATATTGTAAGCTTTGCCTAGCTGTGAGACATGCCTAGGTAATGTGAGTTGTTCACATCAGCTCATTTATTTATCTGCTCATATCCCATTATAAATTAAGATAAATCAAGGTAACTTGCACTTAAATTAAACAACTCCTAAATTACTGCAATTTAGCTTTCATTTACCTGCATAATAGAACAGACACAAAACAATTGCAGCTTACTGGGTGTGTCTACATGTGCCATTAATGTTCAGTAAGGTTACTGCACACTTATATAAAGTGCAGTAAACTGCACCCAGGAACATCTCTACACGCGTGCACTGTTGGGCACAGATTTGTTCCCAACAGCAGCAGCCTGGTCCAGGGCTGCTCCTACCCTGCTCTGCTCCCCTGCAACAGCCAAGAGAAGCTCCTGCCTCCCCAATGGCAGGTAGGGGGCACAGGGATTGGTCCTGATGTGAACAAGGCTGGGAAGTCTGTGAGGCTGCAGGGGCAGCTGACTCTCAGCCCCATGCACATGGGAATGGAAGATAGCTGCCCTGGAGCCCCACAGCTCCCCTGGAATGAGGACTTAGCTAGGCAGGAGTAGCCCCCTACTGGGCTGACGGGGAGCAAAATTGCTCCTGGTCAGCACCTACACATGAGGCACTGCACAGTAGCTACTGCATGGTTAATCTACTATCTGTATCTACAGGTAGTAGCAAACCCCACAGTAGACTAATTTAGTGCACAGTAAATGCCATGCACTTGTAGACAGTGACATTTTACTGCTCAGTAGATTAATCTACTGTGCGCTAAAGCATCTCACACAGCGGCGCCTGTAATGTAGTAAATTCCCTCTTTTAACCCTTAAACATCATAACAGGTTCTTCCATACCCTTAGTCTCTGAGTGTCTACAGTGCAGTTATTGCTTTGACTAAGATGTAACATAGCTGTGCCCAAGTTAGTTTTAACATGCTAGTTTGGATGCTGGTCACACTCTAGCCACAGCAGCTACAGGACCCACTCAAGAAACTTGGTGAATACTGGTAAAGTTAGTCCACACTTAGTTCACTTCCAACACAGCTACACCTTTACCCCTATGGAAGATAGCTAGTTTAAAGGTAGCTTAATTCTGTCTGTACAACTCTACAGTGACAGCAGTGGTTGTAGCATCATTATATGCTCTGATTTCAAGTTCCCCGTGTGCCAGTGTTATGTGGGAATTTTCAGCCAGTGAACTGAAAATCTTTTTTTCAAAGCCCCCTCATATATTTCACTTTGACAAGAGAATTCATGCCCTTCTCTGCTGCCAAACATTTATACTGAGCACAACGGGCATAGTTTCTTCTTCACTGTTCAGCACTACACTGGCTTTAGCATAGCTCTAAACCAACAGTTCCATCCCCTAGGGTGAGAAAAATATATCTTCATCCACCAGTCACTTCCGTAGTCTCACATCTTCTCACCATGCCAGGAGAAGATTTTTAATCGATTTAAAAAAAATCATCATTAAAAGAAATTAGTTTCATTCTCTGAAGTTCAGGCCAGAAAAACCACACTGGCATCTTCTAACAAGGAAGCAATGAGTATTTTCTAGAAATAGCCTTTTATTTGGTGGCTGGGGCCCAAAACACTCTGAAGACTGGTGTTGCGTTCCTCTTTGTGCCATGGACTCACTTTTTAACCTGAAGAATATCACCTCACTGGCAGTGTGTTCCAGTTTCCTCATCAGTAAATCAGAGGTGCTGGTACTTACTCTCATAGTAAAGAACTTCCAGATTCCAAGGTGCAAGTCACAACAGACAGACAAAGTATTGTTTCTTCACTGTTTGCGGAAGCTGCAGCTTAACTTGGGAGTGAAAGAGGACTCACTGCGCACACCATGTAATTTGTCTACAAGACATACCTATGTTCTGAATTGCTAGGTACCAGCACAATAAAGGTTTATCACATGCGAGTTTGTCACTTGCTCAGGGCAGTGGGCTCAGTCACTGATCTTAGGAAGTATATTTATTTATGATAAGATGCCAGACAGACACTTTGTTCATGTACTTTTGTGTATTCAGAACAGCGTGTGTTAAAATGTCAACGTTATATATGCAACACACTAAAGTTTGTTAGCTAACATGTCCCTTTGTTTTAGATTGTCTCCTACTTGCTCGATCTTCCAGAGAAAGATGAAGAGGAGGTGGAGCGAGCACAAATCAACAGCTTTGACAGCCTTTGGGGAGAGACAGGTAATTTCTGTTGGACCTATACCTTCTATTTTCTGTTTTTATTTATGGACTCATTAATATCTAATATGCATTTGATACTTATGAGTATTCTGACTTCTCTATTTCCTGGAAGACTATCACCCTCCTTATTGTATTTTGACTATAAAGTAGGATCATTTACTCTAGCTTGAACTTCTGTACAGACACTGATATGGATCACAGTGGGTGTGTCTACACAAGACGTTTTACTGTGCATTAGACTAATCTAACGTACAGTAAAGTTTCACTGTCTACATGTGCACAGCAATTACTGTGTAGTCTGTTAGTATATTAGGATGGGTCCTGATCTCTACAGGGGTGGGAGGCAGCTGCCCACCCAGCTGGCCCCACCCCCTGGCTCGGGGCCAGCCTGATCTCCCCCAGGCTGGGACAGAGCTGCCTGTTGAGCTGGGACACCTCCCCCCTGCTCTCTGGAGCTTGGGTGTAAGCCCTCATGCCTTCTGCCATCCCAGGGCTGGCTCTCAGGGGAGCCTGGAGCTCCCCTTGGCGGCTGCAGAGGGCAAAGCAGGGCAGAAGCAACTCTGAACTGGGCTGCTCCTGTTGGGCCAGTTTGTTCCAATGGGGGTGCTTTAGTGAACGTGAATTTTCTGTGCAGAAAATTCAGGCACGTTAATTCCACCTGTAGATGCTAGATGGGCACCTGTTGAGCTAGATGGGTACAAAACTCTGGTCTCTCTCTCTGTTGCTATTTGCCACAATTATACTAGGGGTGTTTTTTCCCACCAAAATAACCTGCAATACCATCAGTTATGCACTTGAATTTTAAATTAGTCTTTGGTTTTCTGCAACCTCTTAATCACTCATAGTAACATTGAAAATGCACCTAGCAGTTAAACAGATGTGCTCTAATAGGGGTAGTCTGTTCTCTGAGTTTTGATGTCAGTCCTGAAGTGCCATCTTCGTAAATTTCATGAGAAAAAAAAATTCACTCTCTGCACTTCAACCATGTAGCAGGTACCATCATTTCAGTTTCAAGCAGTGTACAAATTGGAATTGTTGGCTTTTAATGTGGAGCATCTAGGTAAATATTAACTATCGTGTTTGCTCAACTCTGATCTATTTAAATCACTGTTGTTTCCACGATAATGTTCCTATCTGAGTATCACCACCCTGATTTTGACCCTACCAGCTTTTTTCATAAATGACACAAACGAAGGCTACAAATGTAGGAGGGCATGCAGTCCTGTATGTGATCAGATGGCTTTCACTAAAAGAAAGACACAACTGGGCACATTCTCAACTGATTCTGATTTTATAGACTGAAAAATTATACTAATGAAAACCAAACCTCTGAACAGTGGCCATGTCTACAGGAGATGCTGACTGTGCAGTTGTTACTGCACAGTCATTTAGTACTTGTATAAATAAGTACTAAATGACTACACAGTAATCTGAGTTACTGCACAGTAGCACCAATGAATGGGTTTTTTGTGACACTGACTGTGCAGTAGCCCAAGGCTACCACATAGTAGCATCGCATCATGTTTTCTCCCATGCAGTGCAACTGCACAGTGGGCTTGGGCTACTGCGCAGTCAGCATCTCATGTAGATGTGGCTACTGTCATGCTTCTGGCAAAACCTAAATTAATCATTGCAGAGCGCTGAGCTTATTGGGAAGTATTTTCCATGGCAAAGTGAACTTAAGGAGGACAACAGGAGAGAAAAAGCATAGCAGGCAGCCTGGCGAGTAGCTGATGGGAGCAAAAGGATGAAGCTCCTGGAATTAACAAGAGGGCTTAACTATGTAATGAATTAGGCATTCTGACATGAACTGAAATAAGGTAGGATGTATTTAGTGGGGTATTTCAGAGAGTAAGGACAAAAAAGAAATAAGGTGCAATCTTAGAAGGTAGTCATAACACTCATAATAATGGCAAAGCTCTTACAGGTAAGCTCTTGAGTCAAATGGTGAGTAGCAAAGATCTAGCATATTTTAAAAGTCCTCTTGGTATTTTGGGCTTTGTTTGTAATATCAAAAAGTTACTGCATTCATGAAAAACAGACACTGGAAGCAGGGACAGTAATCCACCCTAATTTTAAGATTTTATTAAAAAACCACTAAAAGTCTCTCTACCATATATCTTCATGAGCAGCATTGAATAGTGCAGATATTATCATTGGACATGAGCTTAGATAACTTTGGGTTGTCTGGATAAAGCTGACAAAGTCTGATAATAAGCCATACAGATTTTTGGACTAGTATATGACATACTTTTTCCTACATGGTCTCTCTAAACTTTCAGACATCTCCATGTCTCATTCCCTGTACAGTCATCTTAGCCTGAAGGCTTTCATTCACATAGCTTTGCCTGACAGAGTCCAGCAGTTTTGTGTCCTCTCTGACCTTTACCATTTCCATACATCCTGTGCAACCTTCTTCACCCGACCGTTTTCTTAGTGATACATCCAGCACCTTCCATGTTGCCTTTGTATTTGACTCCCTATGGAAGGAATAGTTTGTGCTGCCTTGACTACTATAAATCATTATATTTAATGGGAGCTGTTGAGTGAATCTGGAGACCTTGGAGCAAAGTGGACTTGCGTACTAATTACACTCAAATTGAGGAGTTATTTCTAAAGAATAACAGGTATCAGATTAAAGCTGATGTTAAGATGGAAGAACAAGCACCAGGAAGTTTCATAAACTCTCAAGCTCAAGATCCTATTTTTCTGCCCTGGAGAAGGTGGGTCTCAAAAGGTGCCATTTGATTTCGGTTTACTTTCCTTCCCCAAAAGTACTTAGTGCTTCTAGGTAAATATAAAGACAAATGTAGCAGAAAATGCACGCTCAACCTAAAACTGGTAATCAGCTCCAAACATCCAAATGTTCTTGTTCTGTTCTGACATCTGTAGCTTATGTCTACTCATGCCTAGAATAGAATTGACTTCCTGACTTAATGATCTTATCCTGCTATTGCCTGAATTGCAGTGCCAAGTTATATCATAACCTCAGGAATTGCTGACAGCACATTAAAGCCTGCTCCAGATGGAATATTTTACTTAAGTACAAGACTAAAATCAAAACCCAGCAGATAAGTGTGTCAACAGTAATAACACAGTCAGAGATGGAGGTGCAAATACAATGGTGATAAATGCATGAAAATATATTTTCTCTGCTACTGAGCTATGCAGTAGATAAAAGTACAACGTAAGAGACTGAAAGCACATTAATAAGGTGGTTGTTTTTCCTGGTAGGGAAAGTTGATTTTTTTTCTAAGAAACAGCTCAATTGCATTTAAAAGAATATTATTATTGAGCTTGACTACGAATATAGAATAGATGCACATTTAAAATTGGCAGCTACACAGTTTTCTGTAATGACATTTTGTTAGAGACTGTGGTTCAGCCAACATAATCCAGTAAATGACTGAAAAAAGGCCTATTGGCACTTAAAATGTGTTTTGTTTATATCTGTGTTAAGTGATCTGCAATGAATATTGTGGATCAGGTGTCTCCATCACATTGTTATTTAGTAATTAAACTACTTTCACCTTGCGTCAGAGTAACTGAACTGCTTTGCTGCTGTGCCCTAACCATTCTGGGATTTTCCCCTCTACACCTTGTGAAATACCTGTTGATAGGCACTAGAACTCTAGGGGCTGGTGTCAGCTTCCCATGATTCTTCCTGTTTCTTCATCATCACCATCTTAGCAAGCCAGTGCTATTTTCAAAGAGCAGTGGGCAAACAGGAAAGAAATATAGTGACTTCAGAACCAGGGTGATGCAGGCAAGTGAGGAGGAAGAGGCCAGAATCAAAGAGACATGTCTAGATCTTTTCTGTGAGTAGCTTCACCTCACAGGGTGCAGCATCTGCATTTGGCTAACTGGTATCATTTGGCAATGGTGACAAAACATCTGAGGGACAAAAGCCACTTTTAGATGCCTTAAAGCTGTGATGATGAACACCAGCTCCCTTCAGCGTGGAGAAGTACAAAGCCATTCTTGTCTGGAGTCTCACATGCCTTATTTGCTGTCATTGTGCTGATATCAAGAAGGTGCTGTTCCTTTGGGACCCCACACCAAGCCTCAAGTTCATCAACAGAAAAAGTATTTCTCTTTGGTGCTGCCATGACTGGTCATTTACCATCGAAAGTTCATCAGTATTGATATGGGGTAACCTGGAAAGATCTGCAATACCAAGATCTTTAAAAAATCAGATGCATTTACTGCAATGTGAAATAGAATTTAACACTGATGGTCTCTGTGGGCGCTGATGTTATTGCCATTCTCCAGTCACTCCAGGATACCTGGTTTACATACAGCTTCTCTGGATTATAAAGCTGTTTACCAGAAACTCGGGCAAGAGGAAAGATTTTTTAACTGTACCCAGAGTTGTGGCAGAAAGAAAGTAAACTTAGTAGTTAGAAGATGGGAAGGCAGCTACAGAAGTCTGATGCCAAGGCCTAAGTGTCATGGAAAATATCTGCCTCCCACAGTACCTGTTTGCTTTGTTAATAGGGCTGTGCAAAGCTTTGGGAGGAGATTCGGCCCAATTTGGTTGCCAAATCTCCAAATCCAAATCAAATCAGGGGACCAATTAAAAAGTCCGAATTGATTCAAAGCTCTCTGAAACTTCGGAAAAGATTCTGAGAGTTTGGACAGTCCCAGGTGGCTCCAGCAGGGAGCTGCAGCTGGACTCGGAGCTGGTAAGTAGGGGGCAGGAGAGAGGCGGCTGAGGGAGGGGACCATGGGGGGGACCCTTGCCTGCCCCCATCCCCTGCTTGCTCCCCCAGCCCCCCTGAGAGTCCCCCGACACCCCACTCATTCCCTCAGCCCACCCACCCCAGCTCCTGGTGCTTTAAAAAAAGCCCCACCCATTAGGTGGTGCTGGGTGATTCCCATTGCCCCATGCTGCATGGGGGGCTGTCACAAGCCCCCCGCCCCCGCTCCCCCAGCCACTCCATGGCTGCCCCAAAATGAGAAAAACTCCAGGTCTCACTGCTCCTGCAGCAGCCTTGGGG